CGAGATCAAGCTGTTGATTTTTGGTTTAGAAAAAGGATATTTGCAAGCCCAGAATTTTGATTTTTATAAACATCAAATGAGTAAGGAAACAGAGTTTAATTTGTTGATTCAATTTAAGGCACTGACCGTGTTGTGTTTGTTTTGTTACTGTTATTGACTCCAAACCACCCAGAGGGGTTAAGAGTCAAGAACTCTGGAGGGTCAGGCGGGCGATATAAAAAAAAATCAAACCAACAAGCAAAGAGGTGGGACCGCCTTGTCGGTGGCCGCTCTCTCCTCCCACCCACGTACCCTTCTCGTCGCGGGAGATGCCCACGGAGCTGTTGATGTACACGGCCACCTTGTCCTTCGAGAAGTCGCATTTCTGCGCGAACCCTTCGTAGCTGTAGTCCCGCTCGGTCTCCAGGCCACCTAAGGGAGGGCAACGGATGGGGAGAAATCCAGAAGCCGAGAGCATTACGATCACGACAGGAGCGCCAGGAAGAGGCTGGGCTTCAGCGGTGCCAAAAAAGGCGGGGGCTGGGAATTATTTATAAAACACACGCCCAGCTTCTCCTCGGTTCCAGGACGCTTTCAGCGATGGAAGCAGCAGCACCCGGCGATCGACAGAAACCAGCGGCTGCCGTACAGAACTGCGCTACCCCTTTCAGCGGTTTGACGTCAGCCGTTCCAAAAACAGAACTGCACCGTCAGCGAAAAGAAGCACAAACCCAGTGGCTGGAAGGAGCGGTTATTCCACAGCCGAAGGGCAGCCAGAGTTGAGGCTGTGGTTTTTTAGAGGCCCACCCTGTGCTTGGAAAAACCCAGGAGGATCAGGTGTAAACGATCATAAAAACAACCCTAACGGGACAGGCATAAAAGAGGAGGGGAGCGCATGGACAAGCTCCTGCCATGTGGTGTTTTTTTTCAAGCCTGTTTCGAAAGCAGATCCAGGCTGGCTATGGAGCCCTCCCCCCCCACCAGAGAGATGGGTTCATGCAAAATGGAAAGGTGTCGCTCACCTAACCCTTCGATGGCTTCGTAAGCATTGGAAGGCAGGCCACCCCCACAGGCCTGATCCAGGGCATCGCAGTCGACCAGCTCTGTGGAGCAAGCGGGCAGAGAGAGGGCAGCAAGAAATCACCTCTGAGCCCCAATGCTATTCCCAGTGTGGAACCTCCTCCCTCCGCAGAAGCCTGGCTTTCCGCTGCGAACCCCACCTCTGCCCCATGCCCTCTGCAATGCCCCTGGACAAAACACCCCATGCACAGAGAAAAGCACCTCCTCCACCTACCACGGCCTTCTTCTGCCTCTGGCTAACAGGCGCCGGAGGACAGAGGCTCCCGTGCAACCGCCCTCCAACCCTGGACAGTGATGGGACTCCTTCTCCAGAGTAACAGGCCCAGCCCGGCGCCAACCTACCTTGCTCGGAGAGCGAGACGAGGGAGCCCTTGCGCAGGAACCACTGCCCTTCCACGTTGCCCGTGACGGAGAAGGCCCAGCAGGAGCCACAAGCGCCCTGCAGCCACAAGGAGAGAAGA